CTGTGACTAAAATACCTAGATTTACCTTAAAGTCGACTAAATGTCCCCATCTTTTGTGGAGTTTGCTCCCAATCCATTTGATGAGGCTCATTGTACGTGACCTATTTGTCCAAAATCTATTCTGAAATGTGAGAGTCAATTAGAAATGATACAAGAGCAGAGAATTTAGAAATACCTGCTATGATCAAGCAGAAGCGGCATGGTTTCATGAAGGACAAAGCCTGATAAATTTACTAGAATGCTTTGAAAGGGGTAACAAGCAGAATAGATAAAAGGGAAGTTGTGGAAGTAATATATTTGAGTTTCAATCAGCATTTGATAAAGTGCCACACGTTAGAATACATAATGCTGGTATGATGTTGTGGGCATCACGGAGATGTGGCTACAAGAGGATCAGGACTGGGAGCTAAATATCCAATGATATACATCCTATTGAAAAGACAGGCAGATGGGCAGAGGGGGTAGGGTTGCCTTATGAGTAGGAAATGAAATTAAATCGATAGCAAGAAACGAAGTAGGGACAGATGATGTAGAATCTGTGTGGGTAGAGTTCAGGAACAACAAAGGTAAAATAAAACCATAATGGGAGTTATGTACAGGCCTCCTAACAGTAGTCAGGATTAAAGGCACAAGATACACCAGGAGATAGAAAAGGCGTGTAAGAAAGGCAGGGTTACAGTGATCATGGGGGATTTCAATATGCAGGTGGACTGGGGACAACAGGTTGGTAGTGGATCACAAGAAAAGGAATTTGTGGAATGTCTATGAGATGGTTTTTTGGAGCAGCTCGTGGTAGATCCCACGAGGGAACAGGCAATATTGGATTTAGTGTTGTGCAATGAGGCAGATTGGTAAGGGAGCTTAAGGTAAAGGAACCCTTAGGAGGCTGTGACCATTATTTGATAGAATTTACTCTAATTTCAAAGGGAGAATGTGGAATCAGATGTAATGGTGTTACAGCTGAATAAAGGCAACTACAGAGGCATGAGGGAGGAGCTGACTAGAATTGACTGGGAGAGGAGCCTAGCAGGAAATATAGAGGAACAGCAATGGCAGGAGTTTCTGGGAGAAGTTCGGGACGCACAGCAAAAATTCATCCCTAGGAGAAAGGAAGCATACGAAGGGGAGGACTAAGGGGAGGCAACCATGGCTGATTAGGGGAGTCAGGAACAGTATAAAAGCAAAAGAGAAAGCATATAGTGTGGCAAAAGGCAGTGGGAAACCAGAGGATTGGGAAGCCTACAAAGACCAACAGAGGACAATGAAAAAAGAAATATGGAAGAAGAAGATTAGATATGAGGGTAAGCTAATCAGTAATATAAAAGAAGATTGCAAGAGTTTCTTTAGATATATAAAGGGTAAAAGAGAGGCAAAAGTGGACATTGGACTGCTAGAAAATGACACTGGAGAAGTAGTAATGGGGAACAAAGAAATAACTGACGAACTGAATAAGTATTTTGTGTCAGTCTTCACGGTGGAAGACATGAATAATATCCGAAAAATTCAAGAGAGTTAGGGGACAGAGGTGAGTATGGTGGCCATCACCAAGAAGAAGATGCAAGAAAAACTGAAAGGTCTGAAGGTGGATAAATCACCTGGGCCAGATGGACTGCACCCCAGAGTTCTTAGGGAGATAGCGAAGGTGTTAGTGGTGATCTTTCACGAATCACTGGAGTCAGGGAGAGTCCCATAGGACTGGAAAATCGCTAATGTAAACCCCCTCTTTAAGAAGGGAGTAAGGCAAAATATGGGAAATTACAGGCCGATTAGTCTACCCTGGGCCGTGGTCCATTGTGAAGCATGAGATGTCTGAATATTTGGAAGTGTATAGTAAAATAGGGCACAGTCAGCATGGTTTCATCAAGGGGAGGTCATGCCTGACAAATCTGCTAGAATTCTTTGAGGAGGTAACTGGCAGGTTAGACCAAGGAGAGCCAGTGGATGTTATCTACCTGGACTTCTAGAAGGCCTTAGACAAGGTGTTGCACAGGAGGCTGCTGAGTAAGATAAGGGCCCATGGTGTTCGAGGCAAGGTACTAGCGTGGATAGAAGATTGGCTGTCTGGCAGAAAGCAGAGAGTGGGGATAAAGGGATCTTTCTCAGGATGGCAGCTGGTGACAAGTGGTGTTCCATAAGGGTCAGTGTTGGGACCACAACTTTTCATTTCATACATTAATGATCTAGATGAAGGAACTGAGGGCATTCTGGCTAAGTTTTCAGACAATACAAAGATCGGTGGAGGGACGGGTAGGATTGAGGAGGTGGCAAGGCTGCAGAAGGATTTACACAGGTCAGGAGAGTGGGCAAAGAAGTGGCAGATGGAGCACAATGTGGGAAAGTGTGAGGTCATGCACTTTGATAGGAAGAATAGAGGCATAGACTATTTTCTAAATGGGGAGAAAATTCAGAAATCTGAAGTGCAAAGAGACTTGGGAGTCCTAGTCCAGGATTCCCTTAAGGTTAACTTGCAGGATGAGGTGGTAGTTAGGAAGGCAAATACAATGTTGGCATTTATTTCGAGAGGACTAGAATATAAAAGCAGGGATGTACTTCTCAGGCTTTATAAAGATCTGGTCAAACCACATTTGGAGTATTGTGAGAAATTTTGGGCCCCATTCCTTGGGGCAGCACGGTGGCTCAGCGGTTAGCACCGCTGCCTCACAGCGCCAGGGGCCCAGGACAATTCCACCCTCGGGCGACTGTCTGTGTGGAGGTTGCACATTCTCCCCGTTTCTGCGTGGGTTTCCTCCGGGTGCTCCGGTTTCCTCCCACAGTCCAAAGATGTACAGGTCAGATGGATTGGTCATGCCAAATTGCCCATAGTGTTCAGGGATTTGTAGATTAGGTGGGTTACAGGGAGATGGGTTTGGTTGGGTGCTCTGAAGGTCGGTGTGGACTTGTTGGGCTGAAGGGCCTGTTTCCACACTGCAGAGATTTTATGATTGAACGGCGGAGCAGACTCAATGGGCCAAATGGCCTAATCACTGCTCCTATATCTTATAATAAGACAAGAAGGGGGGTCGGCCATTTAGGCCTGAGATGAGGAGAAATTCCTTCACCCAGAGAGTGGGGAGCCTGTGGAATTCTCTGTCACAGAAAGCAGTCAAGGACAAATCATTGAATGTTTTCAAGAAGAGGTTAGCTCTGGTTCTTGGGGCAAAAGGGGTTAAAGATTATGGGGAGAAAGTGGGAACAGGGGACTGAGTTGGATGATCAGCCATGATCATATTGAATGGTGGAGCAGGCTCGAGGGGCTGAATGGCCTGCTCCTGCTCCGAATTTCTATGTTTCTATGATTTCAAAACTCATTGGTTGTTTGTGTCAAGTGTGTGCGCACGTGTGTGTATGTGAGTGCAGAAGTGTATATGCGTGCGTGTACGTGTGTCTGCATGTGTGTGTGGTGCAGGGGGCTGAGGTCAGGAGCTGTGAGTGTTGGGAGTACAGGAGCTGTGAGGGTGGGGTTACAGGAGCTGTGAGGGTGGGGAGTACAGGAGCTGTGAGGGCGTGGTTACAGGAGTTGTGAGGGTGGGGAGTTCAGGAGCTGTGAGTGTGGGGTTACAGGAGCTGTGAGAGTGGGGAGTCCAGGAGCTGTGAGGGTGGGGTTACAGGAGCTGTGAGAGTAGGGAGTACAGGAGCTGTGAGGGTGGGGTTACAGCAGCTGTGAGTGTGGGGGTTACAGGGGATGTGAG